CATTACACAAATAGCCTTGGAAAAGGTATGAATCTATCTCTTCTCCCTTCAGCTATGGATTAAATAGTAGGATGAACTGGGCTTTTTAGCTGTGGTTGTTAACCAGTCTAGAAGAAAAACTGAATTCAAAACTGGTTGTGTTTGGGGGTAGCAACTCCATTCTATCAGGTCATCCCATAAGTTCTGTTTGAATTTTAACTTTTTGTTAAAATGAACAAAATTTAAAGAGTATTTTATAATGTCTAATGGAGCTGAACATTATTTTTATGTTTAGATGCATTTAAACTGATCAAATTTTATTTCAGAGAACAATAAAATTAAATTTTGTTTGATTAAAACCCTGCTAACATGGAAGTACCCAAGAATCATTTGAGGCACATAATGCTTTATGAGTTCAAGAAAGGAAACTCAGCAGCCGAAGCAGCTAGAAACATTCACTCAGTTTATGGAGAGGAATGTGTGAATGAAAAAACTTGCAGAAGATGGTTTGTAAAATTCAGAGGTGGCTCATGAATTGTCTGAAAACAACCTCAATCCCGAGTTGACATCTGCTCTTCTCTCCATTCTCACCAACTTCTTTCATCTTTTTTGGATAGACTTGTGACTGGCGACGAAAAATGGCTCTTTTATTGAAATGTTAAGCATTGTAGACAGTGGCTTGGTAAAGGGTAAGGACCCCAGCCACAGCCAAGAAGGGAACTTCATGGGCAAAAGGTTCTTCTTTCAATCTGGTGGGATCACCAAGGAATAATCCACTTTGAATTCTTACCACCTGATGCAACAATTAATGCTCAAATATACTGTCAGCAATTAGGGTGTTTGAACCAAGCTTTGAGGAAAAAAAGACCTGCTCTAGTGAATCGAAAAGAGGTGATGTTTCATCAGGACAATGCGCGACCACACACAGCAAGAATCACGTCACAAAAGATTGAAGAACTTGGTTGGGAGAAAATTCCTCATCCACCTTATTCTCCCGATCTTGCTCCTTCAGACTACCATTTGTTTCGTAGCTTACAGAATCATTTGGAAGAAACAGCTTTTGTAACACAGGAAGAGGTTAAAACTGACATTTGTGAGTTCTTCGAATCAAAGCCAAAAGAATTTTACAGTAATGGAATTAGTAAGCTTGTTAATAGATGGAAGGAAGTCATAGATAATCAGGGAAAATGCATTGTTGATTGAATCTGTAATTAAATGTAACATTTGGTCACTTGTTTTCTTTATTCAAAATTCGGACAGAACTTATGGGATGACCTGATATAAAAACTCATTTGCTATAGAAATCACAGCAGCAATGTTTATAGAGAAAGACATCTTGTTTAATGTTGGCTCTCTTTTATTACAACCACCTCCAGAATTTGGAGTTTTTCCTTGCAATGAGTCCTGTCTAAAATTTTGGAGATATCTACTAAAATTTGTCTAATGTTAATATTATTTTTAAAGTTAGGATGTTTGTCTCTGTTGTTAGTTGCATAATTAAAAGAAAAAACTTGGAGTTCCAATGAATGATTTATTTTTATGGAAATATTTTGACTAACAGTTGCCAGTCTTGGTCACTCCTTAATTTGAGTAAAATGGAAGCTCTTCAACAAATTTTAAAACAGATAGATATCTGAGTTGTTTTCTCCTCTTTCAACACAACAGGAAGGATGCTCATCAGATTAAAAGATGAAAGAGCAGTTACAAGTAATGGCAATCTGATCTACAAAATTAATTGCATGAACTGCGCAACAAGTTATGTGGGCATGACTTCAAGATCATTGAAAGAACGACTGGATGAACATTGAAGACTTTGTGATAATTTCAAATGATAACGAAAAATAAAAATTGGGAAAAACTTCAGCGATTACATTACATGCCATTACAGAAGGTGGTCACAGAATTGACTTTGACTATCCGGAAATAAAATTGACCAACCAAAAGCATTTCAATCACAGAAGAGTAGCTGAACAAATGGTAATAGTAAATACAAAAAATGTCTGCATTAGGATAGATGCAGCACAACTCCATCCTGTTTGGACGTCTCTGCTTCAAAGAAAAATATGATATGACAAAAAAAAACCTAAACTTGCTCTTATGTTGCAAATGTCATCAACTTGGTTTGTTTTCCTTGATTTGAATTCTTGAGCGTTTCTTGTTTCTTTGCACTGTTTTACTCAAATTAAGGAGTGAACAAGACTGGCAACTGCTAGTCGAAATATCTCCATAAAATAAATCATTTGTTGGAACTACAAGTTTTTTCTTTTAATATTATTTTGCTTATTTATCATATGTAAATATAAAAGTGAACATTGAAGTCAACACTCAGAAGTGATAGGCTGTTTCATCCTAGATACAATTGTCAGGCATGACAATTGCATCTAGCATGAAACATGAGGAACTTTATCAAGGCAAATGTAGGATTTATTTTGTTGCAAATGTTTATATACAAAAGCAAGGATGTCATTGGTTTATAAAGTCTTTTAAATTTTAGACTGTTTATGAATATATGTATAAATAAATAAATAAACCAACACTTCATAAGATGGGCATATTTCTTTGATTTTAATGTTGTTTCTCAGGTTAGTGTCTTTCAGTTATGTCTCTTTCTTCTGGTGACTGTCAGCTTCATATCTCAAGCAATCATCAGACTATTGATTTCTATGCTCACATTGTCCATATTTACAATGATACTGAGCAAACTTCTACAATATAAAAAATCTTAAACTATAAGACAACTTGGAAAGCTTTTACTTTGTCCAGTTTTGCTGAGGAACTAACATCAGAAAATATTTTTTTCAAATAAAATTATTTTTCTAATGATGCTGGTTCCTCAACAAAACATGACAAAGTAAAAGTTTTCCAAATTTTTGCTAAATAGTAGCGCTACCAGTTAAACATTGATTCTTGTGGCGGAGTCTAAGCTAGCTTTTAACCAAAACAGCTAATCGATAACCATAGTACTGTTGCCTACAGTGTGCTATTGTTTTTATATGTAAAAGAAATCTGTTTGGGTTTTACTAAGTTTTAAGGAGCCTCTTCTGTCACTAGCAGGGTTAGGGTTAATGACTTTGTGGTTTTCTCATGGAGATTTTTAAATGCTCAACTGAATTAGATTTCAATATTTTGCTCAGCAGATGAAATATCAAAATCAATGAAGATGTTATGCTGATAAATAAGAAAAATCCATTGTTTAATATGTCTACCAAGATGAAATCAGGATTTCAACAAAGTATACACTGTTAACACACTTCTGCCAATTTGTAATAATTTCTTTAGTCGAAAACCCCTTCTGCAGTCGTCCAGTTACAAATATACTTATGTTTGAAAAGTTGTTAAATTGCTTTGAGAGATGAGAATCAAGATCTGATGAATGACAAAATACAAGACTAATGTTTATTCACATTGACATGAAGACAATCATGTCTCTTTGAACTGATTTGAATATTTCATGTTAAAATCTTTTGTCCATTTTCTTGTTTCTGTTCAATTCTTGTTAAACAAACATCATTCTATGCACCAATGTATAATTATGGAATTTTATTCAACACCATGTTTCATAAATTTTGATTGTGTTGGGGACCTGGAGCATCAGTTGGCTCAAATCTTTGCAAATTAAGAAATACAGGAAAAAAAAATATGAATATTTAAAAAAAAATAAACTAAATAACAAATTTATGTATATTTGCTGTAAGAATTCTTTAATTTTACAATGTGTTTTTTTCTTTTTTTCTTAAAGTAAATAAAAAAACATCCAAAGAAAGCTAACATGAAAAAAAAAGGTACCATATTTGATGGCATATTAGACAACTGTTCAGAAAGAAAGTTTTTAGTGTTTTTAAGCATGTAATATTTAAATCACTATCAGTAGATTACAAACACCGCAAAAGTACTTTAGCTAGAGCAGCAAACCTTACTGTATGCCAAAAGAAAGCTAGTCGTACAGCTGAATATAAAGTAAAAAAAAAAAAAATCATATTAGGAAAAATATTCTATATTCCACTGTGGCCATGTCACATGAAGAGCATATTTCTCTGCGGCCTACATGTGGTTTTTCTTTTTACCATCACCAGGTTTTCTTTTCAGTGACGTCTCTTTCATCTGGAGTTTCCAGTTGGTTAATGATACAAGCATTTTGAGGCATATTTAGCTAAGATGGATCAGCAAGTACTAACAAGTGTCACTAATACTTTATAACAATAATTCCTTTTACAGTTTCAGTAATTCAGTAATAATAACAATATCTTGTGAGTAAATACTGTTATTATTATAGAGTTAAGTTTCTAGAGAGGAATGACAATCTGAGATAAAATTATAGCCTCGATTAGTGAGTACTGGGGTAAAATTAGCCAGTGGGAAATTTAAACTTCATATATAAGATGCAAGGTATTTTTTGAGGCATTTTTTAAGTGTCTGATATGCTGTCAAATATGGTAACAAAAACAAATAACAAACCTGATCTAATTGTTATGCTGACAACAGGCGTGCTTTCAGAGTGGCATCTGTGTTGCCGTAACAATGTAATATCTTATTAGTAAGCAGAGAAAGCACAGTGTTTTATGTGATAGATTTTTTTTTCACAAAAAATTGAATGCAGAAATGTTTATCTGCGTGTTGTACAACAGAAAAATGAATTGATCTCACAAATTCTTATGGGTGACTTTGATCTTTATGAAATGAACGAAATTGATTTGGTCCAAGTAAAATCAAAATAGAAAAATATTAATTACTTGCTTATGAAGATAAAATGTTTGTTGAGATTGTGGGAAGATGAAGACAAATGTCAAGGGGTGGAGTGTGGGGTGGGGGTAATTGAAGATTTTATGAAGTTTTTTGTGTGTTTAAAAATGACAAAACAAAATACATGTTTGAAATAGCAGTGTAAATATTTAATGGTGTAATTTGAGACAAAAATTGAAGAGCAAATAGCGTGTATGTGTGTGTGTGTGTAAGAGAGAGAGAGAGAAATATATGTGAAAATGAATGTTCAGTCCAATTGTCTGACTTAATTTAATGAAGAGTCATGAGAGAAGTAGCAAACCCATGAAGGAGGAGGAGGAGGAGGAACGATAATGAGCTGTTGGGAAATGACGTCTGCAAAAGAAGAAGAAAAAACATTTTTCACTTGAAAAACTAACAAACATCAGATATATGAAACGATTTTCAAATGTTTAAGTATTTTATAAAATCTCAAACTTTTAAAATAAGAAAATTTAACTTCCATGTTGACTTAATGCAAAGAAGCAACAATCTTTTAACTTTATTGTTCAATTTATAATGGCAATCTAAGTTTTATGGCTTCTCTATTAAAAAATAATTTATGGCGATATACAATGTTCATCAGGTGAAGAAAATGATTAGATTTTGATATTTTAAAATGTTTTATGGCATGAAGAAAATGACATTATTAAAAGCTAAATTTTCCAAATGCTACAAAAGATTAAATAAAACAAAGCAAGATAGCCTATCAAGTAAACAATTGTCATTTGATATCATCAGTGACGTAAACTTTCAAAAATTCATCCTTTAAACCCACCTGTAACATTTATTTATCTTCCCACTGTTGCCATTTTTTTTGCTTTCGATAGTTTCTTCTAAAAATAAAAATAGAAACAAAAAAAGTCAGTTGACAGCACAACAGGACACAAGGTAAATGAGAGGCATTTCATTGTTAATAAAGAATTTTAGCTAAAGTCAATTATAATGAAAGTTTCAACATTTTCTTAGATGTAAGCAATGAAAATACAACCATAAAGAATACATCTCTCTCTCTCTCTCTCCTTTATTGTGGAGATTTAATTGTTTAATTAGAAAGTGAATGAGAAAATAATAAATTATTTAGATTATTCATGGTAATAGAAACTGAAAATGTTTGGATCATTTATGCACTTTTGAGTTTCTACCAGCTGAACACAAAATTCAGATAACCCCCAAAATGAATGAATGAAAAAAATATTTTTAGATACCAAAAGCAAATAGTGAATATAATGGCGTACAGAAACTTACAGTATTACTTAAAAATCAAACTACAATGAAAATAAATTTATAATCAGAAAACATATGAATAGTTGTTAGAAATCATAAGAAAGTTATCTAAAGAGAAAAGATTTAATATCTGTAAAGAAGCTGAATTATTCAACTCTGTCAATGATGTCCGAGTTGCATTTGACAGGCTGTCAAATATACCAGTGATGAGTAATTTGTTTAAATACCAAAATGTTAAAGAAAGCTGAGCAAATGGATCTGCATACTTGGCCTTGATTGGTGTGGCTATTAGTAATGCTGCTGGTACTGATGATTGGAGGACTGCTTTTATCCCTTTACAACTGGTACATTTCCAACGGCCAGTTGGAATTGCTTTCAAACCAACACAGAAAGTATGATAGCCACGATCACATCTGTCACAGAACATCATTTTATCCTGGGAGGAAAAAAAAGAAAAAAAAAAAAATCAACCTGACATTCAGAATAAAGTCCTTTTCATTTATCAACTGAGAAAAACAGTTTTTTTTTTTTATTTAAAAGACATGTAAAAATCCACAGATACATTTGAATTTTTATATGAGTGGATTTCTTTTTTAAAGAATCTCAATAAAACTTCCATCTATTTTCTGTATTTCTTTAATTGTCTGATATGCATGAACATCATTTAATATGTGGCCTTTGCTTTCCTTTTTCTTCAATTTTCTATATCAACCTTTCTTTTATCATCTCTACTTTTGAGAAAAACAGAAAAAAAATTACACTGCTCAAAGGTTCATCATATTATAGTTTGTTTTTTTAAAAATTATAATCTCAACATCTTTTAAAAGATACACTGCTAGCCATAATAATGAGACAAATTCAAAGAGCTGACAGATTTTAAACTTTAAATTGCTGTCTTAAAATGTAATGAATATTCATAGAAAATGTTAAATGTAGGTTTGTTATCTGTCTATATTTCCGAGACGAGGTGGTATTGTAATTATTTACATTTTCATTGTTCGGACTGTTGTCCTCATCTTTATTACCATATTCATGATGTTTCGGTTATTGTACTCTCCGGCCTTCTTTGGGTGATTGGAATTTCAAAGTGAACCTTTTATTTCGTCCACTAGGGTAGATTGTTCTAGTTCCACGTGCCATACCTCTTCCGGGTGTGTCAGTTATCTCCCTTTAACTCAACTCACCAAGTTTTTGTTCACCACTGTAGTAGCCAAGTATTGAACTCATAACTATTTGGGTCAAATGACTGGATCCAACCAATGTTTTTATCCACTAGGCCATATGGCAATATTGATGAGGACAACAGTATGAACAATGAAAATAATGTAAATAATTACAATACCTAATCTCAGAAATAATAATGTAGGTTTGTTGTTTTACAGGAATTTAACATCACAGTGTGTGTGTGTGTGTGTGTGTGTGTGTGTATATATATATATATATATATATATACACATGAATTATTCACACAAAAACTAATGCAAAGGTTAATGATTTAAATGGCGAGACATCCATCATCATAAACAATTCAAATAATATACAAAACCTCCGTATCCGTTATGAATGAAATGATCCTTGTTTATATAAATTTCTGCCGTATTAGTTCTTATTTTACTACAAGCTTTCGTCTGTTCCTACAGACATCTTCAGGTATAGAATAGATGTTGTTCTTGTTTTTTCTCTTAGTAATAAGAGGACAACGAAAATATATGTATTGTTGTATCCGAAAATGCTATTGAAAATGAGTTATTGTTTTTAAAAAAAGCAACGCTGAGTTTGATTTTAAATTTTTTAAAGGTTGTGCGTTCATATAAAATATGGTGATGAACAAATTTTTTTTACTGGTAAATTTTTCTGTCAAAGTGGTATGAACTATATTGTTCAATAATTACAGTAATGTCGCACTTATTATCCAAAAGTCGCACTTGGATCAGTTATTTAAATTACGATAAACGTGCAATCAATTTACAAATACATGAATTATTCACAAAAAACTAATGCAAAGGTTAATGATTTAAATGGTGAGACATCCATCGCCATAAAACAATTCAAATAATATACAAAAACCTCATTATATTTTATATGAACGCACAACCTTTAAAAATTTAAAATCAAACTCAGCATTGCTTTTGCGCGTTCAAAAACAATAACTCATTTTCAATAGCATTTTCGGATACAACAATACATATATTTTCGTTGTCCTCTTATTACGAAGAAAAAAACAAGAACAACATCTATTCTATACCTGAAGATGTCTGTAGGAACAGACGAAAGCTTGTAGTAAAATAAGAACTAATACGGCAGAAATTTATATAAACAAGGATCATTTCATTCATAACGGATACGGAGGTTTTGTATATTATTTGAATTGTTTGCAATGATGGATGTCTCGCCATTTAAATCATTAACCTTTGCATTAGTTTTTGTGTGAATAATTCATGTATTTGTAAATTGATTTATATATAATATATATATATATATATATATATATATATATATATATATATATATATATATATATAGCTTTCACTCCAAGCAAGGCAGTAAAGTCACTAAGATACAAGGGGGTTACTGGGTGTGGAAGAATTAGGAAGAGAAAAGAGTAATCAGGAGGACAGTAGATAGTGATTGATACTGCATAAACAATACCGCCAAGGATTGTTTGTCCAGCTTTTTATTTAATTTTTTTAACTAAATTGCTTCATGTCAGAATTAACTAACTTTCCAAAGTTCATTTCTTGTATCCATCCAAGTACTTTTGATGGTTATTAACAAGAAATTGTGTATTTAAGAAATTACAGTATTTCTTAGTCTGCTCTAACCAATTTCAAGTCACTTAAAGGTAATGTCATCTACAATGGTCAAACTGAATTTATACAAGCAAAGAAAGACTCAAAATTCTGGAAACTGTTGTAATACAAGAGAAGCAGTCAACATTAAATAGGGTGTCATTCTCCATAGGAAATCACATATTGGTGTTTGTATTTTAAAAATGCACATATAAATTCAGTTTGACCATTGTAGATGATGTCACATTTGAGTGACTTAAAATTGATTCCAGCAGGTTAAGAAAATGCTGGAATTTGTTACACATAGAATTCTAATAACATACAATTTCTTGATACCAACTGTAGAGACAGTTGAAAATACTTGGACGCATACAATAAATGAACTTTGGAAAGTTAATTCTGACATAAAACAAGTTAATTGAAAGTTAGGAAAACTAAATAAAAAGTTGAACATACTTTGTCATTATTGTTTAATAAAAATTATTTGAAAAAATTCATACTGCTTGAATAAACCTTTATATATAATTCAAGTAATTACAAATTAAAAACCATCTCAAATTATTTTTATGTTCCAAATTAAATTTTATTTTCAGCTAAAAGAACAATCAGGATTGTTTATCGACAGCCGATACAAAAGAAAGTTTCAATGATGAAGTGGGAATAAAAAAATTGTGAAGTAGTGGGTGAGCACTTTACTGGGATCATTGATGAAAAATCAAGAACTTCATTCCATCTTTTTATCTAAGACATAGATTGTTAGCATAATGGATATGCATGCTTACCTCTAGGTTAGAGGTTCAAGTCATTACAAAGTTTTACTTTAATTTTATATATATTTTTTACTTGAGAAAGTAAAAAAAAAAAAAAGAAAAAGAAGGCAAACAGACCAAAAAAAAAGTGACATTGGCTTTTTACATGTTAATTAAAACTGTCACTTTCTTCTATTTGTATAGGATCTTTTAAGGATTTCAAGGTCAGTTTTCTTCTCATCTCTCCCTCCCTATCTCAAAAAAAAAAAATTTAATCCTTTACTGTTTAAATTTTCAATTAAAAAAGTGATTGAATAGACAAAGTCAATCATTTCATGCATTCAACAAAAAAAATTTAGGGTTTAATTGGGAGTAATAAGGAGAATCTATATTATATTAAGCAAAAGAGTCATTTTCAAAAGACAAGATCTGTAGAAAACCATAATCAATCATGTCCTGAAGGAACAGAGTACAGAGAAATATGTCTCTTAACAATTAATTAACAATTAGGGAAAATGATATGGGAAGATAGAAAGCAATTAAAAAAAATGCATTATACAATTTCTATAGTAAAAAGTACACTGATTGTTTATAATAAAAAATTTGTATTTTTGTTTGGATTAAAACATTTTAGAAATTGTTGGGAAATGTTAGTTGTATGAAGAAAATGTGTCGACCATTTTGTGGATGGAATTGGTTTAAGCTATGAAAATCAGATGAAGATTATTTTTGCTTGAATTTATTATAAAATTCAATTTATTAAAATATAAAAGGCTTGGGACTACCTCATGGCTGACAGAGAGATCATTACTTGAGTTAAGGATTTTAAAAGCCAAATTTTCAAAGCAAGAAGGCTCTCCCCTGGCACAATACAATCTTGTGCTGTACCTTTACACTAATTGACAAAGAAATTAGTACCCCTGAACATGGGTTAAATTGCAAGGGAGGCAGAGCTTTCTAGCCTTGGGTGGCAGCCAATCTAAGAGAATAACTACTCTGGATCCAAAACTGTGGAGAAAGCCCTCTCTCCATCTTTCCCAAGTCATCAATTCACAAATAATAATAATAATAAAAAATAATCTGTGGAGAGTCATGATTATTTATGCTCTGTGAAGGGACAAAGCATTTACAAAAAAGAATTTAGTAATGGCATTTTAAGTATCATAATAAGTTTTGAGGCTCCTCGATTAAAATATATTTTGGTATAATTCTCAAAAGAGTCATAACAAATCTGCTGTTAGTTGTGAGAAATCACTTTGAAGAATAGAAACAAAGATTGAAATTCTGTCTACCTTACCAGACACTTCTCTATAAAGCTGTTCTTTTTGCAACAAATATCGTCATTATAAATTTGTCATTGGTATTTCTTCCATCTTAATTTTAGTTGCCCTTACATTGCAGCCACTCCCACTGAGGCAGGTTTCGGTGAATTGGAGTCTTGCTAAGAAAATATTCTTTATTTCCAATCTGCATTGTTTCTTAAAAGCTGCAGACTAATAGTCTGAGTGGTTGCAAAGATGAGGGTGACTAAAATTAATTTAGAAGAAATACCAGTCAGAAATTGATAATGATCGGCAATAATTAATCTAACAAAAATTCATGATAAACACTTTGGTGCTTAGAAGGATTGAATAAATAAGGAATGAAGGTGAGGATGCAGACCCCTGCTTGGCTGCATACACACACATACACCTACCTCGTCATAAGGGTCCATACAGCGAACACAAGTCTTGCACTCCATGCACTGCCAAGGATAACTCTTTATTATAGACACCATTGCTTTGGTCAAATTCAAGCAAGCAGGATGACCTGCAGATGACAATAAAACATGTGCAGATAGTCAAATTGAATGAAAAAATTAGAATATAGAATTGAAAACAAAACACAAATTATTAGGGAAAGGGATGAGTAAAAAGGAAAGAAACAAAGAAAAGACAAAGAAGTCAGCCATCATTTGTTGGAAGGAGGAAGAGGTTAGCATTTCGGCTTAAAAGAGTGTGTGCATGTGGGTGCGCAACAATAAATCAGCTGTGCAAGAGACAAAAAGTTAACTAAAATGAATGACTTGTGTTACACTGTGAAGATAGTGATGGTGATGATAATAGTGGTAGTGGTAATAGTTGTAGTATTAAAGAAAATATGGATTGTGTTTGTATGTAGCAGAATTGTTGCATAAAATTTCTATACAATTTCTATTGGATAAGAAATCAAAATTCGTTGTGAGAAGAATGTTCAAGTCCATTGTTCTTGAAATTGAGTCATAGACACACAAAGCCTATGTCATTCCTGCAAGTGAGATTTAATAATTATTTTTGTAAGTAAATCTGCTCCTTAAGAAGATGAAAAAAAAAAAAAAAAAATTATACCGAATTACTAATAAATCACTTTTGGTTATCTGTTTCAATTGATTGATTTGTTTAACAGCATATCAACTCCTAATGGGTCATTTAATGCCGAAATTTAATTTTCATGGGAACTTTGAAGTGATAAAAACATGTTATATGTTATTCTGCTTTCACATTTGACTACATGGTAGATGATACTCAGCTTTTGTGCATATACATGTTTGTGTGGACATAATTCCTAGAGGTGGTGATATGTCTGTTTTATGTTGTAGTTTTGCTGAAGTTATATTTTGGAATACAGTTTGATTTCTTGAAGAAATTGTAGGATATTATATGAATTAATGCCATGAAAGAGTTCTTTCATGATGGTTGGTTGGTTGGTAGTATTCTAAATGGATTTGGCAGAAGTAGTTACAATTTGTTCATCTGTGTTTTATTATGTGTAGTTCTTGGCATGCTGTACAGATTGGAGGTAGCTTTCGTTTTAGAATATTACTAAACATTACTACTTCATCTTTCCTTGCCATTCTTCTATAGTAGGTTTGATGTTGTATAATTTGTCTGTTTTAAAGAATATAGTACATGTTCATTTAAATGGAGATAAATGAATTATTCCTTTTTGAATAAAAGCACAGTCTGAACATTCTTCTCATTAAATCATAATTAAGTATTTTCAGTCAGCAAACTCGAGGAAACAAGGTAATGAAAATGATCACTAAAAAAAAAAAAAAAAAAAAAAAAACAGGAACGGATGGGAATAAGATCCAGTTGTTTTAACTACAATTTAGATCTTAAAAAGATCTATTTATGAAAAGTTTCTTTTTATCACAAAGTCAGGGTAGAAATGAATGAAATCTATAAAGAAAAAATGTAAAACAATTCAAATCTATTAAAGGATGAAGAATATTTGTAAATACACATAAAATATGGCTGATATGAAATATCTTCAAATAGTTTACATGTTTCTGTAGATTTTTTTAACCTAAATAATAAATATATTAGGGGGTGCTGAAAAGAAGGGATTATCAAAAAAAAAATTCTGATGTTTGGTCATTCAGTTAGATTTTGGGAAGTGGATCAAGCCAATTATTTTTCAGCACTCCTTTGAATACACATTTATTAATTTTATAGTGAAATGATTTTGGTTTACATTTGCACATCAAAATATACATACCAATATCAAACCTTTCTGTTGTCAAAAACAAGTTTAGAATTTAAGACTAATATAAAACTACATCCAAAAATAAATGTTTTAATTATTGTGTTTAGCTTTGTTCTAATTTCCTCATCATTGTGTCCCCTCTGGACTTCTTTAGCTATTTGCTGCATTCTGGAATGCCCTGGAATCTTGTTTTGAGGGGAGCACATGCATTCCTTTCCCATACATGTCCTGACTGGGCATGTGTAGGCTTTATCAGAATATACTTGGACAACATTCCAGAGTATAACAGATATATAAAGAAGGTCAGAGGGGACATGAACAAAATGTTGGGTTTGGTTTGTTTTGGTTTATGGCATATCAACACCTCAATGGGTTATTTAATGCAGACAAGATTTTTTAGGATATGATCGTATGAATAGAACATGTATTCTTTGTAAGAAATCAGTTTGTAGATCAAATTTCATTGACATATTTTTGTAAAGAAGGATTTTGTCAGGAGTCAAATGTATTGCTGGTAATTTTTATGATAAAAATCTATTTTTATACTTTAATAGTATTTTGATCCTAGTTTGGGAGTTAACTATCTGCCTATAGCTGGGACTCTAAAAGGTGCTACCACCCTAACAAAATGTTGGGGGAAAATGATAAGGATATTAGTTTAAAGAAATTTGGAAACAAGTTCTAACAAAATTCAAACAAGAAAAAGAATGTTTTATTTGAATCTATTGAATTAATATGTTAATTTTTCTAATGAAATTCATGTCAAAAATAAGAAATCATTTGTCCAGAAATAGTTATCTTATTCTGCCTTATATTTAAATATTACTTGATTGTTTAAATTGAAAAACAAACAGTAAATAAACAGAAATTGTAATAAAAGTTAAAACTTGACACTGAGGAGACAATTGTTTTATTTTTAAACAAAACTTTTGTTGCATGAGATATTGTTAAAGCTTATAGATATTTATTCTAGAAAATCTTTTAAACTTGATTTTTGCTGTCAACTTTGATTTGGGTTCATTTTTAATACTTTTTTCTACAATAATTGCCGAAAAAAATTAATTGGTCTTTTGCAAAATGGTACCATGAACATTGATAATTTATTTTCATCTATCTAAAATTCTGTGACTTCTGTTAATTTGTCACATCCTCTAAAATAGCCATACAATAAATAGTACAATAAATTTTCATTAATCTTTTTTGAAAGATTAAAAGTTTATTATTTAACATACAAAATACTCCCAGTCTTTTAAAAACAATTTAATGATTAAAATAACAAATACTTATTTAATAAAAATGCAATATTGTTTTTTGCATATCTTTTCTTTAAATTTTTATATACAAGAACCCAGTTTCCAGTTCTCTCCAAGTTTGCAAGAACAAATCACAGGGCCAAATGCTTCAAAAAGTTGGAATTTGGCTCCAGAAAGATTTATGCATGGCCAGCTGTATGTTGCATGCTCAAGAGTAAGATTATCCTAAGAATTTATTCTTTGCTGTTAAAAAGGAAATGTTCTTAAAAATATTGTTTACCATAAAATGAAATTATTAAACTGTGAAGTAGTTTTTTGTCAAAGTATTTTTCCAAACAAATAAGCGTATTAAAATTTAATCGATTGGTTTGCAAAATTGAACCAGAGTTTGTAAATCTCAACAAAAATGTTAGTGATAACTTTAATACTAAATATGGTGAGGATTTTAAGACATGTTGCAAAAAAATTCTATTATTGAGAAAAGAGTTTAAAACACATTTAGTAAGAATTAAGATTTTTAAGCTAAAATAAGAAAACATAAGTCAAACGAAGATTATTAAATATAATATTAAATTAAGTTCACGATTTTTAATGGATTTAATGATTAATGACTTAAAGCTAATGATAAAGAGGAAAATGTTGTCAAAACAAAGGTGAGTGTATCATTCAACAAAATTGATTTTACCAAGGAATTTAATCAGTTCATTTCCCAATATGAAAAGATATAAATTATTTTAGATATGGATTCAAACGAGAGAAAGAAAGTGAATGCATAAAGGGGAGTAGGCCAAAATAATGATGTAATAGTAAAAAAAAAAAAAAATCCCTGAAATGCTAAGGGGGGGGGGTCTCTCTCCCTGGTTGTCAACTGTACAAATAATGACAATTTAAAAAGCTGATAACAATTATGACAACCACAGACTTCCAATTTTTAGAGATATACTAAATTACCAACAGTTCAAAAAAGTATAAACAAAAACTCCAAGCCAAAATTATTGTCTATCCTCTGTAAATTTCTTTTCTCTTATTTGAGGTTTGACTAGAATTAATTTCTGGGTTGTGTTAATCAATTAGTATAATCCATTTTCATAAAGTTTCAAGCTAACTCTCCAAATCTTAGTGGAAACTGTGAATATTAAAAAATAAAATAATAATAGTAATTCGGTTTTATTTGCAGTTTATGATTAGAAAAAATATTTGTTATGAACTATTTCTACAAAACAAATCCTGTAACACATTCTGAATGTATTTATTATGTATAAATTATTTGTTTTGAAAAGCCTATGTTAGATAAGTCTAGTATGGATAATAGGAATATCAGGTTTTATTATCCATGTTCTTTAACACTCAGTAACCCTTTGCATCATACGAACTTTATTGCCTTGCTTGGGTGAAATAATTAAAAAAAATATATAAAAAATTGCTAACTTATAGAATATCCATTGAACTCATAAAATATTTCAAGTGATTAAATTAAGCAGTGTGGCCAATTTGAGTTCTATTGCAAATGCTACTTTGTTGGTATGCAGAGGAAGGGGGGGGAGTCTTCAAAACAAATTTCAATTTGAACTTCCAGTAAAAAAAGAAAAATAAATTCTAAAATCTTAAATCCAAATCTGTCATTTAAATAGAACACAAGTTTCAGTTCATAGAAATTTAGAGAAATGTTATTTAAGAATTGACTGACAGTATAATTCATTTCTCAATCACAATTTTTCAGGATTTCTATTTGAACATATTTTTTTTGAGACAGACAAAAGAAAAAATTACTCCAACAGGTAATTAATCAGCCAGGTGTTTGTACTGTATCTGTATTTTTTTCTGATTTATGATGATAAAAATGAGAATTTAAAGAACTAGCATGAAAAAAAAAAGTGAGGTTGATAAGGACAGCTCCAAGTCTTTATATAAACAAAGGAATCTGGCTTTAAAAATACATGCTCAAAAAAAACTTCATCATAAAAGCAAAGAAACTATTTATTATAATGAGGATGATGATGATAATTAGCTGTCTCACATTTTAGCCCATTGTACCAGAGAATTTCCGATATGACATAATGTCAGATTTTATTATGGAGGTTAAATGATTTTTGAGAAGGACAGAGAAAAATTGGACCTAGAACTAGCTGATGCTAGTGACAGGCATATGTGGAGAGGTAAACTGAGATCCTCTGTCAGGCAGCACCCCCACCTTGCTTTGTGCAAGATTAATCTCAGTCTTCCCTCGACAAAAGACATGGTTATGATGATGATGATGATGATTAATTAACTGATTTTGGTTAAATATATATGAGCAACATGTGAGTTTCAGCTTATCTATCCTCATTAAAAATATTGATAATAACTTGTCTTGGGAATATCAAGTTTTATTACAAATAAACCCAAGTGATATAGGCCATAGAAACATTTGATTAATACAATATCCCACATACCTGAATAAATTATTAATTTTACATGTTAGTCTGATCTCCTTGACATTCTATAACCTTCATCAGACTTTCTTTCGTCAATTCTGTTAATATTTCTACTTTAACAATGCTCATCTTTGCAGAATGTGAAGCTGAGCATTGTCATGCATGCATTTACTTTTTAGCTTAAAGTTTCTTGGTTATAACCCGTACCACTCAAAAACAACCCCCCAAAAAACAGTTTGTCCATGACAATGCAATAATTAACTGCATTTATCATGAGCCATCAACTTTGAAGAAACAAACTTTTACTGTCGTCAATACTATCTCAAAACATTGCTCCAATTACTGCTGTTCTTTTTTTTAAAGTCATGTTGGTTGACTATTTCTATGTAGGACCCACCTTTAGCCCAATAATGTCCAGCCAATGCAGCTTTACATTCATTACAAAAGATTAGTGTTGACAAATCAGCTTTCATATACAACTTTGCCTAACTTACACATTTTTCTGTGATGTTCATTTAAAGGTAGTACTTTGGTTGTCATTCATTTCTTTATCTAAAGGTCTTAAATATTTTGCATCTTTTCTTTTTGTACACATTTGCAACACTAGATTCTTGAAATAATTTATTGCTTGTCATCCCACTTTTCTTGCTTAATTTCTTTTTGTGACATTTTTAAAGCCAGCTTGTTTCTTGTTCTTGACAATGTTTTTAATTTATTTTTTGATTGTTCAACTGTTTGTAATTTCCAAAAATACATTGGTTCTATATTTCTGAGATGAAGTGTTGTTACTATTTACATTATTTTACATTGTTCAGACTGTTGTCCTCATCTTTATTGTCATCTTCACAATGTTTTGGCTATTGTACACTCCGGCCTTCTTCCGGTGATATACATTGGAATTTCTAACCAAACCCTTTAATTCATCTATGGGGCTAGATTGTTCTAGTTCCATAAGCAATACCTTTTCTGGATATCTCAGTTTCAGTTATTTCCCTTCAGTAACTCAACTCATTTTTTTCTTTTGTTCACCTCTGATGTGGTCAGGTATTGAACTCGCAACTAAATGAATCAAATCACTGGATTACTTTTATTCAATGGATCATGTATCCTTGGGAACGAAATAAAAGGTCTGATTCAAAATTCCAATGTATATCACCTGAAAAAGGCTGGCATGTACAATGGCCAAAACATTGTGAATATGACAATAAAGGTGAAGACAACAGTCTGAACAATTTCAAAAACAGTCACACAACACTTAATAATGTTACAGTATTTTGTTTCTCTTTTCAAATATCTTTTTTATGACTCATGACAATCTTTATATATCTGAAATTAAAAAATAAATATCAATAGCTATACTATTATATAAATATTTAGTTACAAGATGAAGAAAACTCAAGATGCATAATAAAATCTCAAGCATCAAATAAATTATTATAAATATTTCTAGTAAAAACAGATATTATAAGTTGAAATTAATATGGTATATTTGTCATATAAATATAACCTGAACATTTTACTATCATTGCTTGGTTAATACCAGTTTTATTGTGAAAATATTAACTTGCATAATAAAATCTGACATAATATAAATAAAAACACAAGTTAGCTTACTTAGACACTATTTGATTCCATTCAAAATAACTTGATAGAGTTTTTTATTAACTGGGGTCAATTTAGATTTGCATATCCTAGCCAGTAGTGTGAAAATTTATTTTGTTAATGATGAAGACAATTCTCGGATACAATGGGTTACTGCTCATCCTTTATGCAAATTTATAATAAATGCAATGATGGAATGAGTACAAATTGAAGCAACAATTTCTTAAAAAAAATATTAAATTATTGTTCTAAAAGAAATGAAGAAATGACAATTTGATCTTGACCCAGAAAAAAAGTACAAGAAAAGGAATAGGAATTACATATTGGGAGTGTATTCAAATCATTGCAGGGTTTGTTTGTTTTTTTCTCAAAAGAAGCTAATAAAATCATTAATCAGATTAACATATGTTTATAGGAATCATTTTTAAGCTAAAAGCTGTAATATTTAAAAAAAACAAAAAAAAAAAAAAAAAAAAAAAAAAAAAACAAAAAAAAAACAAAAGAACATTTTAGATTTGTGGAAACTGATTTGCTTTAAATTCCTTCTATCCTTTCTTTCTTTTTCTCTAGGCTACAGATTTGGTCTTATTATTCCCATCCTTACCTGCCTCCTCCTCCTCCTCCTCCTCCTTAATGCTGCTTCTTAGCAATACTCCTTTTCCTCCCCTTCTCTTGGACATTCTTCTGTTTGCTCCACTTCTGTTTCTCTTTCTTAGAACGTCTTCCCTGTGGTTTTCCTCCTTAAAAAATGTTTGTGCATACACAGCACAATTCATTATTACAATTTTCAGTTTGGGATATGTGTGTCTAATAAGAATAACAACAACGTCTTAGCTCAGTTTTTCAAAGTTCAACTCTCATCCATTAATAAAGTAAGTTGAATAAACACAAATCATTTATCAGTCTAAGGAGGCCAAGTCAGTTAAAGCAAATAACTTGAACAAACAAACAAAAAAAATGACTGTTAGAAAACAATTTCAACCTAATAAACAGAACTTTAGTTAGGAATGCTATTAGCATACATCAATAGTTGATAGATCTAAAACAAAAAATGATTTTTTTTTCTTAACATACAAACTAAATGAATGCATCTTATAATTAAGCTGTGTCTGAATGAAAACAGATCTATTATTTCAGCAATCATCTTGGGATTTGGGAGAAAATGGTTTGCAGATATTTGGTAAATCTTTCATAATTTCTAAATTCACTTTGTGTACATGTAAAATCCACACAATCTACACAATTAATTAGCATAGATAAATGAGTGGTGATCTTAACTTTGAGCAAGATTTTGCAGTTCATCCATGACTTGTCAAATCTGCAATGCCCACAGAATAGACCTAAAAAAAGAAAGCTGTTATTTTTTTTTTCAGACTTGCATGAAGAACACTGGAATATATTATGATCAGTGTGACAAAGAACAACAAGTCTGCAATTAGGTCAGGCAAAGAATGCAATACTGTATTAATAAAGTGCAGCAATGTGTGCAGTTCAAGCCACAGAAGGAAAAGAGTGCATGCATGCGTGTGCACATTTATTATATTATTATAAATATGTAAATATATATTCAGAGAGATAAAAATATACACAACATGGAGGTAATAGTTGTGGTGGATGGGTATTTCATATGTAATGAGCATCTCATGGTGTATGTGGACATAGCATTATACAATCTACAAAGTAAATTTGCTATTTGCAAAAATGGTGCAAATGTCACAAACCCTAGATCTACTCAAATCATGGCTATGAAAGGATAGAGATTTTAATTAGTCAGTTATTATTGATAATTTATTTTACATAATATCAAACACAGATCCCTAGAAAAGATATTTTGCTCTTAGCTACATGACTACCTTGAAAAAAAAAAAAAAAGAAAAAAAGTACATTTAACATCAATTAAAAGAAGGCATATAAAAAAAAAAAAAAAAAAAATCCCCTGTCTCCAATGAAAACCTATGTTTCCTATTTTCTTATCAAGAGAGGTTAAAAAATAATCTACAATAAATTTTAGAGATAAAGTAGATTTTTTTTTTCGGAGGGGAGGGGGAATCAATTTATCATAAAGCTTATGATAAGAGGAATACTAATTTACAAAAATGGCAAAAATCCAAGATTTAAATACCGTAGCAACATTTGGAAATCTTATCATTTTAGCAGTTTAAAGTGGGGGAGTAATTTTCAAGGTTACATTTGTTTAATAAAATTAAGCTTTTTTTTAACAATGTTGATAATATAAAATAAAATTCCTGCTTAATAAGTATAACTGAAAATTGAAATATATACATTTTATAGTGGATTATATGCAGTTTGTGGTATGTTTAACCCTTTCTTTTTCAACAGTGTTATAATTATAGATTCCATCAACATATGTCTAAATAAAGTACTAATAAAAAATTTAAAATATCTCTGTTCATTACTACAAAAGGTTTTCATTATTGGTGACTAATAACATGTTTTCAATGAAAATACGTAAAATTCAATTCTGGTCAGTCATATGACAATGATGTTCTTTTGGCTAAAAAATATTCTTTTTAACAAAAAAGTTATGTATTGTGTTTTAAGAAATTATTTTGATTAAGCAGTTTTTCATTTTTTCTTAAGGTTTCCTATAACTCAACACCAGCAATAAGACTGCAGCTCAAATATTTTCAAAAAGAGACAAATTATCAAAAAGTATCTTGACAATAATTTATCTTAAAATATTTATTTAAAAATAAAATTATTTCATATTTAACTTTTTAAATATTGAAAGTAATCAGGAATTAAAAAAGAAAAATTCCATAACATAATAAAACAAAGTTTACATAACCAGAGAGTAGAATAAATAATTGAATTCTGCTTAAATAAATTTTGAATGCAAATTAAAACAGTTATATTTTTTTTTGTTTTTATCAAAAAATATAAACCTCAACTCTATAACTTCACAAATTAAATGACTATTGATGAATTTATGACTTACTAAAGGTTTTTGGTAAAAAGTTTACACAAAAATTAAATCAGTGGTTAGGATATACCAGAAGATTTGTGATTATTTAAGTGAATCAAGGAAAAAAACAATGAAAATAGGGAGGGTAAATTTCAGTATCTACCTTGACAGGCAAATAAATTAAGTTTTTCATTTCTACATTGAAGAAATTTTGTTAATCAGCTCTTTGATACAGTTCTAATATTCTGTTTTATAGGATGTTGGTATATTGTTTGAGTGTACGAGTGGGCTCATTAGAATTGACTGTTTACATAATTAACATTTAAGGATTGAAATTTTGTGGGGAAAAAGATTTAAAGAAGGCATTGACAAAAAAGGTTTGGTTTAGTTTTATTTATGGATTATCAACCTATTGAGTCATTTAATGCTGAAATTTAATTTTTTTGGGAGCATTAGTAATTTCTTTTACAAAAACTGTATTGCTGGTAATATTTTTTTCCTTAGAGTAATGTATTGCTGGCAATTTTAATTACTATGAAAATGTATTGCTGGTATTTTTACTATAAACTTTTTTTTTTATACTTTCATAGTGTTTTGACACCTGTTTGGTGGTTAATTATTTGCCCATAGCAGGGACCCTAACAGGTGCTACCACCCTAGGTCAGGGTGAACCTGGGAACATCAGCAATTAAGAGGTGGTTCCACATTCCTCAAAACCTCCTGATCAGAGGCCTTGCTGCTGGATATAGTTTATCGTTATACCCAGGATGCAAGAAAAAGGAATTGCTTCTTCAAGTTTATTGACCACATGGGAAAGTTACTAAACAAAAGTTGTCATAAAATGTGACAAAGTTTCGAGAATCATGAGGCTTAGTTATTTTCACAGGCCAAGTCCATAATTTTTACTGAGTTGACTAACTTAAAAATTACATTTTGGAAACAAATAATTATTGTTTTCAATATAATTGTGCAATTAACTTCAGGATTTTTCCACCTTTTATTGAGGATCAATATATAGAACCAAAATAAATGCTTTGAGAGCCATTGATATGAATACTTTATTTAAAATATAAATAATTTTATGAGATTAGTTTATAAAAATATATTCTTGTCTAAGGTAAAAGATATTTATATATTTGTGAGACAAAGGAAGAACTATTTTCAATAGATATTTCTTTTTGTCTTTTTGACAAAACACTCATTTGTCCCACATATGAAGAATCAGCTAAAAATGGTCAAAGGAATTTCTCTTTTTTAGAAGCTGTATAAAGGGGAGGGGTAGAACAAGATACACATCATTATTAACCCTTTTCTTGAGTGACATAAATGTACAATTATTGTTCGCAAATGCATAATTTCTGGGAGAAATAGTTAAACAGAAATATTGCATGTTGGTGTACTATGATCAGAGATTCTGCAGCTGTACTCCTGGACAATGTAAAGATTCCTATTGTACAGATTTGTACATGTAGCTAAGGATTACTTTCTTGTGTTAAATGCTGAAACATTGGTACTTGTTAGCTATCGAATATATAAAAACTTAAGTGAAAAGGTTTCAAGTTTAGTGTCAATCTAATCAATTTAAAGTTAAAGATGATTAAAGAAGAAAGAAAATGCATAGAAATAATAATTTGTAAAACTGTTGATAGACAGTTGTCAATAGTTTTGTAATACAAGTGATTAGAAATCTTATATTTGTAAAGAAAATAAAATAAACCGTTTTGATAAAAAAAATTATGAAAAACTGAAAGTATGAATATTATCAAGAAAATAAAGAGAGGGGACTTAGAATTTTTTTTTTTTTTTAATATCTGAAATATTGAATTAAAAATATTTTCAAGATGCTCAAGTCACTAGTTTCCCTTTGCAAAAGTTCAGTTTTTTTTTGTTTTTTTTAAATACGAGAGTGAATAAAACCATATGACAAACTGAGCTATTTTATTTAAAAAAAAAAAAAAGCGATGTTTTGAAAATTCACAAATGGCATAATTCAGTTCTGTTCAAAGACAATCTTCTCTAGATTTGATTACAGGATAAAACAGTGTCAGACAAAACATGCATTTTCATTAAAGACACTATAGTGATCCATTGCAAAAATGAATAAATTACTGAAACATTATATATGCAACACATCAAATAATAAAAATAGCTAACAATAAAAGCAGAAGACAAACCACCAGGCAATGTCCCACCAAATTCTTGAATTTTTAAGAATTATTAATAAATACTTTTTAATAAATTAAAAATAAATATTATTTCTTTATGAGCATACATTTATAAATATCTGAAATTTCCATTTTTAAAATGTTTTTCAATAAAAAAGAAAATGTATTCAACTATAAGTGAGTGAAATTTATCAGTTCTTCCAATGCTGGTTTTGAACTGTGGGTGAAGGTTAAATGTTTACAACTCACTTTATCTAGTTATACATGTATGCACAATAATTTTTTTCTATTCTGATGGAAAATGAAACTGAGAAGGATGATGCTAATTTTGACCTGGATTAGAAATTTCCTTGTATTTTACAATTTTGAGCAGAATAAGTTTTTCTTGCTAAAATATGTGATTATTATGCGAGCAGCTTTCTTTATTTTTATAGTATCAGCTGAGAATCAAATTTTGATACATGGTCTTAAATAATTAGGCAAATTGTTGAAGAATAAAGATTATAATTCAATATTCATCTTATATTGCTCCAGTTACAACAGGAATTTTTGAAGAAAATTTTGGATAAAATGGCCAAAACATATTTTATATATATATATATATATATATATAGTTTTAAGGTGTGCTATATTTATGGGATAAAGTGCTCAATATCATAGATAGAGCGTATGTAAATATAGATATAAAAGTGAGCATAGAAGTCAACACTCAGAGGCGACAGGCTGTTTCATGCTAGACGCAATCATCAGGCTGATTAATGCTAGACGCAATTGTCAGGCAGACTTTAACTAAATCAAAAAGTAAGGAAAAGTTACATGAGAGACTGGCTTTCTAATAATTGTTCAAATTTACTGATTTATAAGTAATTGATTAATTTAGCTGATGGGAAAGTTTTTTATACAGATAATTTCAAGTAGAAAGCAAATGTGTTATTTTGCTATTGGTAAAAATCGAAAAAAAATTGTTCTTGTTAAAGAAAACAAAACAAATGAATAACAAATTTGGCAGTCATTTAGTTAGGATTGAATTTTGGTCATCAAAAACATAAATTAAAACTTTTGCTCTTAGAGTATTTTTATGAGTGAATTGAAGAACAAATTTTTTAATTGAAATTGGTGAAATTACAAACTCATTATTTTTATGACACCATGTATTTAAAGAATTCTAATTTTTAATAAAGACCATGTTTTAATTCATCTTGGGAGATCACATCAAGTCAGAGTTAAAAATGAAAACTGTTTAGGGTTTCTTTCAAAATGAAATCCTAGTTGCTACATTAGGATCTCCTCAATTTCTACTCATTTCATTTGAGAGATGTTTGCAACAGGTGAGTGCAAAGATTCATCTAACATATAAGAATAATTAAGAATTCAAAAATGGTTTTCATGGCCAGAAGAAGTCTTAGATAGAGGAAGAAATTAAACTAATAAGAAATAGTTGTTAAAATAAAAACAATTTTATTTTACCCAAAGGAAAAGAGAACATGAAATCATCGTAAAATGTTGACATGTTTCTTTTCCTACCAAATATTTAAGGAAATGTTCCAAGAATCTAAAGAGAAGAGCTAATAAAATATGACCAAAACATGAGTCCATGTAATAAAAGTTATGCCTTGAGCAAACTAAAAGAAAAATTTAGTAATTACAAAACCAAAATAATAAGGACTGGCTTTTGTTTCTTTAAATAAATTGTTGTTAAATGATGAAATAAGAGTGGCATGAAGTATTTATAAGAATAGGAAAAGAATTAATAGAATGATAAATGTATCAGCTTAATCCACAGGCCAAGGCACAGGGCAGATAAATTTATCTTTATTATTATAAAAGGAGAGAGAGAGAGAGAAAAAAAAAAAAGTAACACTTACCAGTTGATCCACATTCAGAACAGCTGACCAGTTCATCTTTTTTGGCGCGTCCTTTGCCTGGACCTTTGTGACAGAAACGGCACTCCTTTTTCTGGTTTTCTGAAGACTGAATAAAAAGAAAAACGCAATAAAGTAGTAATTGAAGAAATAGTTTAAAAACAAAATAAAAAAAATGGTAGAATTAAATTTCAGAATACAATTGAAGAAAAAAAGAAACTTTAAAAAATTGCATGAGTAATCTGTATAGATTTTATTATCTGGGAATTCAGCTGCTTCCTTCATCTGAGTAGGAAAAAAATTCTAATGCAATTAAAAAGCCACACAAAAAGATTCTATTCATATTTCAATATGATTTCTTTCACATATTCTATCTTACCATCTCTCTAATTACATAAACAAAAAAACATGAATGCATTTTAATTCTGTGTGTGTTTTTATATTATATATATATACATATATGTGTGTGTACATACACACACTAAAGAAATAGCAAGCCAGGAGCCCCAAAGTGAAATTCTGACAATTTATGTAACTCCTTTAATAGTTGTAGAATTATAAGTAATAAAATTAGCAAAAGTTTCTAAATATTTCTACATCAACAATCTTTTTTTATTAAAAAAAAAAAGATTTATAATTTTAATCAACAGAAATAATTAAATTTTTTATGAAGAATAAGAAAAATTGGTTGTCTGTAAATGGAATATTCATTCCCACATATATTAGGGTCTTTAGAAAATAATTGTTTTATCAGAAAGGATATAAAACAAATGCAAGTTAATTTATTTAAATATTATTTATTAAAAATGTAATCACATTCATTTTCAACAATTTGTATTCCTCCTTGTCAATCTTTGGGAGAAATGCTTCTACTAAGAGAGTGACAGTAAAAGTTTATCTTGTCTATTGGGAAACTGCTCATCTTCCAACCTCTCTTGTATTTCCAACATCTTGGCTCGAGTGTCTGGTTCAGTAATATGGATGCCTGATATATGTTGATATTAGATCCATGATATTATCTGCAATCTCTGCCAATTTTTCCCCAGGAATCTTTTCCTCCTCGACTGATGTTAAAGTAACGTTTAATTCTGCTGTAAGAAATATGTGTTGTGCAAAGCCAAAAAACAGTGAAAGAACTGGAAAGATTTATCATCTCTTATCATTTTTCTTTATTTAAGAGCTGCAGGTTCTGATAATCAATTTTTTAACTTCAATTTAGTGAAGGATTTGTTCATAGACAAGAGGAGAGAATAATATCTCTTGCTTCCATGATTATTCTATGTTTGCTAAGGCAAATCGCTGTCTGCAAAGTAACATACCATAACCTTGCAAAATAAATGTGCAGGTATCTGTCTATATTTCTGAGATGAGGTATTATGTACACTATTTATATTATTCGAACTATTGTTCTCATCTTTCTTGCCATGTTTATCACAACATTTCGGCCGTACGCTCAGGTGGTTGGAATGTCGAACTGAACCCTTTATTTCACTCACTGGGGTAGACTGTTCTAGTTCCACATGCCATGTCTAATGGATGTCAGTTATCTCCTGTTATCTCCACTGCCTTAACTTGGTACTGAACTCACACTCTTTGGGCCCTGTCACTGGATCTAACTAACGCTTTTATCTACTGTGCTATGTGTCCTTCAGGAATTTCTGGGTATTATAAACCTAATGTCTTCAGCAGTCATTTTTTACCAGTGCTCATATTACAATTTTTGTTGTTATTATCGCTTTTCTCTGGCACTCTCCAGTTAGCCAGACTGTCACATGATACATTTACTTACACTTAGTTGGTTTGGTTGATTTTCTGCACATCAACATCTCTATGGGTTATTTAATACTGAAATCTACATATTTTGTATGTAATTTTATGCTTTCAGGGTAAAGTTGTTTTTTTTTTTTTTTAAGGTATAAAATTTGTAGATCATAAAATTTATTGTTGGTACTTTTACTATAAAACTTTTACATTTTTTTTAGTGTTTCATTAATTGTCATTTTTTCTATAAAAATATATTGTTGGTTTTTGTGGAGGTGGGGAGATTCACTATTTGTTCATAGCTGAGACCCTAACAGGTGTTATCACCCTGGGTCAGGGTGGACCTGGGAACAACAGCAACTAAGAGGTGGTTCCACACTCCTCAAAACCTCCAATCTTCCAAACATAAGCCTTGCTGCTGGATGTAGTCTATTGTCATACCCCAGATGCTTACTCTTTGGCATGTGCATAAATTATAGCCAAGTCAAGGACAGATGGTTTTGTAATACTACATTGCAATAAATAGGGATAATCAAGACATTTAGGCAATGAATAACTGCCTAGATTTCAAACAGCTATATATCTATTTGTATTCATCTGTTAATTTATTTAGAGAATTTGCAATGACCAAACTGAGGTTGTTTTAGATTATGGTCATTTCCAATGATCAAAGGTTGGGAGTTAATTACACTTACCTCTTTTGAATCTTTGGGCTCCATAGGAGTTTTACGAGCCCTTGGTCTTGGGGACTGATTGCTAGAAGGTTGAGAGACTGATGGGTTGCTAGTTTCAGAGTCACTGGAATCGTTGTCATTGCTATCAGCATCAGATCCTGAATCTGCCTGATCCTAGTAACAGTCACAAATAATTTTCAAACAGATGAAGATACAGTCGCAAAATATTAATAGATTTGTCAGTTTCAATAACATTTTTTTTGTTTTGTTTTGTTTCACCCCATGCAAAGCAATAATGTCACTAAAACGCAAGGGGTAATGGAGGATAAAAGAAAAAGATGTCAGTGAGGAGAAAGGACAATAAAAGAACAGAATTGAGGGAGATAGAAGATGGTGATTGATGTTGCACTTAAATTTTTGAACATTGTAGTTGACAGGGAAGCAAGAAATTGAAAGAGAGTTCTACAGATGAGAAGTGTAAAAAAACAAATCATTTGAATAGAACTTACAGTTTACTTCTAGCTGTTTCATCAGTATAACAATGAAACCTAATTGCCAATCCAGTAGCACAGTTAATTTCATGCAGTCAAGGAACCAAGGACGAAAGCCCATTAAAACAATTGCCATGAAAATATTTATACAAAAGACAGGAAAGCCGTGTTATGGTGGTGGGAAAGTGACTGAAGTCAAGATGCTAGGTCAGAACTGATAACATTACAGACTATTTTGGAATTTGTCAAGAATCTTGAGATATATAATAGGAGCACCGGATCATTTATGACAACAATATTAAATGCAATATTCAATGAATGGTAAATCTATAAATGTGCAAAATTGATTCTGACAAGAAAAAATTGTCTAGCACAATACAATGAAACAACTTTCCCGGCAGACCTAGTAATTAATTCAATATAATCATTCCACTTCATGTCAATGGAAAATGTGAGAAAAATCTGGACAGTAAAATAAATCATATTTGATATATTACTATTATTTGGTATTTCAAAACTATCTGTGGATTTGAAGGATTTCAATAGAGACCCATAGTATATCTGTCAGAAAAAAAATGATCTCATGAATATTCAAATGTAGTATAAAGAAAGTGAAAAGTAGTCAAAGAAGAGAGAAACAATATTTTCTGTTTGACTTTCTGGGATGAAGAGTTATTTATAGTTGGACTAATGTCCTCATCTTTGTTATTATCACATTTCATTGTGTCACTCCTAATTATGGCTTTTCCATGTAATCAGGCATGTCTGATCATGTATGGAGGAAAAAGGATGGTAACCAACCCTTGTAGAATGGAATAAAAATACTAGAGATGAGCAGTGGAGAATCAGACATCTGAAGGAATTAGCACAGATATCTGATCAAAAAATATTGGGACTGTTGCTATGGTAATGGAGCTAAAGTACACAAAGTGACACAGATTAACCTTAAACTTTGTCACAGATGCACACTAAGATATAATGTTCTCTCTCACTTCCGTTGTCTCAATATGCCAAAGAGGTTCCATGGCAGAGAAACTGCATCAAATACATTTTGGCCAAGTGCTTTCCCCACCTAATACAACTTCAATATTCCCCAGATCTCGTCCCTTGTGTGCTTTTCCTCTTTCCAAAAATCAAATCCCACCTGAAAGCAACAAGATCTCAAGATGTCGAAGAAATTCAAGAAAATACAAGACAGTTGCTTGCTATCCCAAAAAAGGAGTTCCAGTAATGTTTCCATTAATGGCAATGACACTGGATAAAGTGTGTGGCTTCAGTAGGGGACTATTTTAAAGGAGATTAAACACTGAATTGATATGTGTTGTAGTTTTCTTTTTATAGCACAAGTCCCAATACTTTTTGATCATTGATTGATTGATGGATTTGTTTTCTACGATTTATCAACCCTTTGCAGGTTATTTAAAGCCAGAAAATATTTTTAGATTGTAAAAAAATTTTTTTTTTGAGATAATGTTTTAGTGATACAAACCTTACTAATTAACGTATAACTGGGGGGAGAAGAGGTAGATTCATACCTTTCTCAAGGGTATTTGCACATAAGTGAATAATATGAACTGAACTGGAATTGGAACTAGGCTATCCAATTAACAATTATCTATTACACCACCCACACATCCAAGTTTACAGCACCTGGTATTTGCAAGTGGTCACCCATTTAGGTACTGATCAGGCTTGATGTTGCTTAACTTCAGTGATGGTACATGACATGGCTGTAAGCCTACTTTTTGATCAGACCTCATGTGTTAGGCTATGATAACTTCCTCAGTAGGCCTAGCATAGATATAAATATCATATAGGATCTATTAATAAAGAAGGAATGAGGAGCAATGACAAAGAGAGCCAAGTTGGACAGTAAGGCTTCTGTAGCAGCAGGGAAAACGTGGCAACAGAGGGAGTCAAGCTTGACAGCAAGGATGCAGCAGCAGCAGTAGACACAACAGAGGAGGCAATATGAACATTATGTGTAAGTTCTAGGTTCAGGATTGTCTCGTGGAACAATAACCTAGAGGATTAAAGTGTTGGAATTTGGTGGCATAGTAATTGTTAGTTCAATTTCTAGTAGTATATACTCGGACTAAGTGGAAACAGGACTAGCAATAACTGAGCAGTACTAAAGAAGGAATCGTGAGTTCAATCCTTGGTCTGGGTAGTACAGACTCAGACTTGGTGGAAACAGGGCAAGCAATAACTTAGTACTATAAAAAGGAGAAGATTAAATATCCGTAGACAGGACAACAGAATGAGAATAATCTTTCAGAGTTTCTTACATAAATGGTTTGGTATGAAATTCCTGGAAGGTTACCTTGACTGGCAGACACCCAAAGAAAACCAGATGGTACAACAATGAAAATAGGATAACAACAAAGATGAGGAAATTAGCCTAAATGTAGACAATGTAAATCTTCATATCTTACAAATACCTATAAGACTGTTAAATTTGAATGCAAAGCAGATTGTCCTAAACTAAAGATTTTTATATTATTTCACAATTTTATACACGATTTAATAATAGAAAAAGTGGAAATGAATTTTCCTTTCATCTATTGATTTCTTCAATTATTCAATGTCAAAAACAAAAGGTTACTATTATTACAGTATTGTGAATATTGTGAATTGACAATTAAGTTAGAGGAATTGACGCCGAAGCAGTTTTTACCTCTTGGCTATCATCCACATCATCGTCAGATTCCCCACTTGTAACTTTGACAAGAGGATTGACAATTCGTTTTGGAGGGCCATAGATTGCCGTGTTGAGGGGAAAATATTTCAACTCATTTGGCTTGTATCTGCAATGACGTAAAAACAAAGGAAACAATTGTAGCACGAGAAATGAAATTAAAAATAGCAACAATTATTTATGGAATTAAAAAAAGATAGTGGAGGTAAAAGTGTCACTGACTTTCTATAATATTCTTGGTATTGTCCTGGGATTAGACTGACAGGATAGGCAGTGACTTTGCTGAATTCTGGATCCATCTTTTTGTATTTGTGTGCAGGATAATGTATTACCTAAATAGGAAAAGTAGTGAGAAGATATTTCTGAATTAGAATGAATTAAAATAAAATTATCGCAGGGATCAAATAATTATAGGAATTTTGAGAACTGATGCACTACAGATTAATAATAAGCAAATAGAGAATCAAACATACAACTTTAATGAGTAGAAGAAATAATCTAATGTATTATTGATAAAATGAACCAGAAAAAAAAAAAAAACAAACAATTTCCAATTAAACCATTTAACCTTTATCACTCTGCATGTGATTTCATTTGTTGTACAAAAAATTTATCCTGCCAATGAAGGTGACTGATCCCTGAACAATAGTGTATTTGAATTTCATAGTTGTGTTGTCATACCCTGCTATGGCAACAGAAAACAACTCTGAATGAAATTAATAAGGATACTGTAATTGAGCAGCCTTGAAAAAGAATGCAGTGGACAGGAAAGTAATAATAATGCAGAGTGCTAAAGGTTAATAATCTTTTAAAGTCTAAAATCTATTTTAATAACTTGTTTGTTTTTCATTTTTTAAAATAGGTATTAAACAAATTTTAATTTGTGCCAAATAAACGAAACATCAGTTAGTTACTGTTACATGCAAAAAGTTACTAAATTACTAAATTTGTGTTAATTAGTATTTCATTAAAAATAAATATCCTAATTTTATTTTCATGGAAAATAAAATCAAACCAATTAATTTTTATCAATTAGCTTTTACTAAAAGTTTTTCACCCAATTTCTGTGGAGGAATAGATTTTGATTTAAAAATTTCATATTAAAAAATTTGGAGAAAAATTATCATTTGAAAAGCTGTATGTGGTTAGTAGATCTGTGAGACAAAAATGTAGAGATGTATAAATTGTGAATTCATTTTACTATCAAAACATTACTTTCTTATAGTAAAGCAAAAACACTTTTTACAAGATAAAAAAAAGAAAAGAATCTAAGTTAAATGAAAAGAATGAAGGCATTACCATTGTCTGTAAATCAAAATATGCACGTCTGTCTTCTCTCCTTTCTTTCTGGAATTGGCTGTTAAATTCTGAGGCTGATTTCATTGCTTTCTTCACGTAATCAGCCATCTTGCTCTTCTCTAGTTTAGGCGGCTACAAAAAGAAACAAAAAAAGAAAAAAAAAAAGATTTTAAACATAAAAACAAACAGCTGCTACTTTTTCTGAAGTCAGAAAAAGCATTAAATTCACATTTGACAAAACAAAGGTCAATGGTTATTTCAACAATAACTCCTTAAAACAGACAAATGTTCAAAACTAAAAACTTGAATATTAATGTTGCAACACAGAATTTAAAAATCAGACACCTTTAGTCAGTGAATTCAAATAAAATATAAACCTTTGAAAACATCTCTTAGAATGAAACCCAGCTTAGTCATATTGTACAGTATAATATTATACTGACGTTCCAGCAATGTCTCAAACCATTAAGTCCCCAACTAAGCATTATGAGTAGTTATCTCTAATGCTAGTAAGGTAAAACAAAGTCTTGTAAAAATAACAAGCATGTAACCTTATGGTTTTATTTGATCAGTGCCCTTTGAACACTTCTCTACAACTACCATCATGGAACATTAAGTGAAGCATTTCTTTTAAGATAACATTTCACACAGAAATCAGAGTTGTAGTAGAGATACATTGAACTTCATGAGCTTTTTACAGGATTATAACATTAACCCTTTAACATTGAACCCACACAAACATGCCCTGTAAATATCGGCTCTGTCATAATATATGACAGCATCATCACAAATAATGCAAGAATTCACGCCAACAGTGAGACTTTGACCAAAAATGGTGAGATTTTGAGAGCTGATATTTACGGGGTGAGTTTGAGTGTGTTGAATGCTAAAGGGTATAACATCATATAATATTAACAACTAGAAACAAGTAGTTAATTTGGGATTTCAAAAGTAAAACTAAATCAAGGTTAGAAATAATGTAAAATAAAGCTACATTGCAGGAATTGGGGTTTTAAAACTCATATTAGGAGGATAGCTTCTTTCATTCTGAATGAGAATAATTGATGAGAAAATATAGAAAGAGAATTATAAAATGTTAGATTAAGAATATATAATCATGTAATTATTATAGAGACATCAAATACAAAGTCAAGGGAAATATTCTCTGATCATATTTTATTTGGAAGAACAAGTATAAAATATATAAATGAACATTAAAAACAAACCATTCTGTAGATACTTTAATATTTTATAACTGAAATAATACATTCATAATTTTGGCATTTTCACTTTTCATCAAAGTAATTTTTGTTGTTTTCATTATGACTTTTGGAAAGATCAGAATAAATTTAAAAGGTGAATATAGTCTGGTGAATATAATGGATGAGTGAAAACTTCTCAGCCAAACTGTAATGATTTTTATTTGGTTAAGAAGAAACATGCAGTCTAGCGTTATCCTGATGAAATATTACACCCTTTCTCTTAATTTCAAGTACTTTTAGTTGTACTAAATGAGAGTCGTACTTGTTTTACTTGTTTCATTTGGTAGAAGGAGCTCATAGTAGAAAAATTTCCTTACAATTCCACCATATACACAGCATCACTTTGTTTTGATGTAGATAGGCCTTTGGTGGTTTGTTCCCCTTGTCCATAATTTATGTTCTATATTGTTATAAAATATCCATTTTCCATTACCCATCACAATGTATTTCAAAAACGGATCTTTTTTTGTTATGTTTAAGTAGTACACATGGAAATAGGCTTGACTTGGAAATTTGTTGCTTATTTCCCCACATTGGACAATGTTAATTATTCTGAAATAATATTTTGATTTGAACGAACCTTAATTTGACTGTTGAGCATTGTTCATTGAGAAATCTCATGCACACCTACAGCATGGCAATGCCTCAGCACATCGCATGTCATGCTGTAAGAGTGCATGTACTTGATTGACCAATATGTGACCAAACGCAAACTTGAGGAGCTGGAAGTGCTGCATCAACCTGCCTACAGTCCAAACCTCACACCATCTTTTCTGAGCCAAAGCTCAGATCCTATGAGGATGGATGTTCAACAATGTGGATGAGGTTGAAAACAAGTGCAGGGAATTTTTTTGTCTCTAAATCAGCCAAATGGCATAAATGTGGAATTGAATTTCTGGTACAACAATGGTAACAGACAATAGAATATGATGGGATATATTTTGATGAATAAACACTTTTTTTATGGTTATTGCTTGCCCTATTTTGACTGAGTCTTAGTCTGCACTACCCAACCCAGAGATTGAACTCACAATTACTGTCATCAAACTCACGAACCAATACTTTTAAATAAATTAGGGAATTTACATATATAGTCTTATCGTTTTTAGTACTGCTTAGCCATTACATTTTACCTGTTTCTGAAGTTTGAGCAAATGTACTACCCAGGGATTAAACTCCTAATTACTATGCCATCAAATTCACAAACTAATACTTTAATCCTCTAGGCTATTATTCTGTTGGGGGGTTAAGAGAACAACAATCAACCCCCGGTACATTAAATAAAGATTTCAGTTTCAAAATTCTCTGAGGTTTCCCTAGATTGAAAGACACTTGAAGAAAACCATAATGCATACTGGTTGAATCATTGTGAAAGTAACAACAAAGATGAGTCCAAGTGTAAATAAAGATAATTTTCCATTCAAGAAATTCAAACAGAAACTATAGATTTAACTTTACCTTTATTTTACAGCTTTTGTAAACATGCAAGTGACTTTAAATGTAACATCTGTGAACAGTTACTTTTGAATGCTATGATTTAAAATCCTACACTTACAAAAAAACTAATGTCATTCTCATCAATAATTCATGTATGCCACATTTATTAAACAGACCTGCATTGGCCCAATTCTTCAACATTTTCCATTAAAATGATGGAGTGGGATCTGCTTTTGTATTTCTATGTGAAGTTATCTCTAAGCTGACAGGGTTTGATTAGCAGCAAGATATTTTCAACTATTGAGTAAAGGTCAAAAAAAAAAAAAAAAAAAAAATTTCACTGTCCAATGTAAATATCTGTTATTTTATTCTCCTAGCTAGAAAACAGCTTATTTTCTGTTTTGTAGATAGTAAGTAAGTCTGATTCATACCTTACCATTATCTGTGCTATTCAAATCACACCATATTACCCTGTAAACTATTCAAACTATTATCACAGGTAATATCAATTCTAACAGATAAACAAGGAAACAATTGAGTGTCCAAAATTAAATAGAATATTTAGGAAATGTAAAACTAACAATGAATATTTTAAAACAAATATTATTGGTCCTGATCTGGTGGCTCACCTTCAATCAGTTTCCCACCACCATAAGGTTAATTCCCTGTGTCTTTTCTATAAATACTTTCATGGTAATTGTTCGAATGAGCTCTTCACTATGGTTATCTAGACTTTTTTGAATTGAAGCACAGTACTAGACTGGCATCGAGATCTCATCAATTTACAGTTGAACTGGCTATATGTAGCCGTAAATTTTACACTAATAGTTTCTTTTCTTGCACTTCTCGCCTGTGGAACTCACATCTGGCTCAGTGCTTTCCAGCCAACTTTACTGTAAAAATTTGAAAGCAATGTTAATTGCTATCTACTGTCCTCCTGATTACTCTTTCTTTCTGCTCACCATTAATGTTTCTGTTCCTAATTCTTCCACACCCTGTAATCCCTTATGTTTTAGTGGCTTTACTGTCTTGCATGGGGTGATAACAATTTAAAAAGAAAAGTTGAAATAGCATATTTCATAACATTTTACCTATGTACATTTCTATCATCATTTTCTTCTATGAGAATTCTCAGTTCTTTTTGTTAATATCTTTGTATGAATTTCAGTCTTCTGTTTTTTTTCTTCCTTGTTTTTAACAATAATTTTGATGATAAATTGCCAGAAAATTTAAATTGCAAACAACTACTATTTCTTAATCTTCGTTTTCTATTGTTTGAATATGTCTTTCCTAGAATAAAATAATTCCATTTTAAATCAAATTCAAAGACAGTCCTGACAAAAAAGGTCACCACTGAGGTTAACAGGTCTGTTCACAAATAAAAAGGGAAAATTTATTTTTGAATAATTTTTGTAGACTGACATTCATTGGACCTTACTCTAAGCTCAACATTCTTTGGCAGAAAAAAAAAAATAAAATTGATTTTTATCATTTTAGAAGGGATCCTGTTCATAATATAAATACATTGTGAAATTGAACATTGAGTCTTTAAAGAGTTATTTGTACTTTGTTTTTTTTTATTTACAATTAGGGATTTTCCTTATTTTTTAAACAGATTTTTGTTTTACATTTTTTACAAAAGGATTTATCCAAAATGAAGAATGAACATGCAATTTTATGCAATTTATTTAAAAAAAATATTCTAAACAAGCTATTGTTTGTGTAACAAAAATAAAAATATTTAAAAAGATTAAAAACAAGCAACAAAAATCTTTTATAATTATGAAATTTACAGTGTAAGGTAAAGTTTCAGATTTGACATTTGTAAATAAAACAAAGTATAGATAACTTTTTAAAAAAGTCAGGGATTGATTTGACACTGTATATTATGGACAGGACCATTCTTCTAAAATGATGAAAGACAAAAAAAAAAAGATCAATATTTTGATTTTGACAAATGTCAGGTACAATGTAATGAATGTCAATCTACAAAAATTAAAAAGAACTCCCCTATTTTTTTCAAGAAGACAAGCTAACTTCAGTAGTGTCCAAAAAGTGAAAAACAAAAGTATCTATGACTATGGTTCTTAACCAGGTGCTGGCACCCCCAAGAGGTGCAAGATTCAGTTCTTAGAAGTGCAAGGAAGAGGTCAAAAAACTTTCTTAAAAGGTAAAACAAAAGTGGTAAGAGAAAGCAGAAGTTGAGAAATGAACATCAAAGATCAAAGGGCTACACGCACATACAAAACACATACAACTCAAAAAAAATTGCCAATTTAGATGAAGATTTAAAATAAAGATTAATTTAAAAATCAGATCCATTTGGATAACACAATCCATATGACTCATGCGAAAGTTGAGAAATTCAATTATTTCAACAACTTAGTTGCTGTTGAATTTATGGCATAGTAAAGTGAATACATTTTTTTTTCT